TGTTTAAACGAGGCGTTTTAGGAGGGCGTGGACGAGTCTTAACTTTTATAAAGAATAGCTCTTTGGGTTTGAGACTTAAGTCTTTGCAACTTTAGGGATCTTATCTATTCACGAACAGCTTATAACACTCCAAAGAGAAAGGAAAACTTGAAATCGCATCATATGACCCCTTTAAATGCTCAAAAGTAAGCGTCACTTTTTGCTCGTTCTTCTGGTACGGTGTATATCTGGTTGCCACCTTGCAATCTGCATTCATGATGAAGAAACGGTGAAGAAACTTCAAACGCACGAGTGAAAGGAAGAGAAAGGTTAAGGGATTATATAACAAAAGACAAAATTATCTCATATAATGCTTTAAATGACTTGGAAAAATGTCTTTTATGCATTTAGCGGAAAACTATGAGCACAGTCTGAAAATGTGTCTGGTGTCGTTAGCCTTCGGTGTTATAACTCAGAGAAGTTGAAGCATAGGATGAGAGCCTGAGGTGCAACCCAGACTGACATCTATACATGAGTATAACAATTGCCTTCACTGTCTTCAAGTCAATGGAGTGAGATAAAACGTGACCTTTTAAGAGAAGGAGGGAAATGTGGTCTGGGTGGAATTCAAAGGATGATGTATTGTTTTAACTCATCCAACTAGTTATCTTTAAGTAAGACAGAGGTAGAAGACTGTGAATAATATGAGAGTGTCTTCCCCGACTAGGCCACAGCGCTTCATATTTTTTTAGAGCATTGCGAGGCCGTCCTGATTGTTTAGATTTTATTTGCATTTTTCAGTTTTGTTATTTCAAGTTGTGCTGAGCTATGATGAGTCAGCCTGCGGGCCAGGAGAGATGAGTGAGAGTGAGCTTCTTGGCTCATGACGCTGCGATGACATACTGGATTGCATTATGAAGGGGAAAAAAATAAAAAACAAAACAAATAAATAAATAAAAAAAAACAAACAAATCAGGTGATTCATCATTGCTAGTCATTGTCACCACAGAGTAAAACCACAGAGATTGCTTTCCCACTGTAATCTGTTATTACTGATAACAAGGAATTATAAGTAACAAACCAGTAAATTACAGTAAATTAACTTAAGCTTCAAAATTCAGATGATTTAAATGTTAAACAACAGCAACGTTTCAACAGAAGTGGGCCAAAAGTTATGGAAAACTTGGTAACACTTCAGTATAGGGACCAATTTCTCATTATTAACTATTTGCTTATTAGCATGCATATTATTAACATATTGGCTGTTTATTAGTACTTGTAAAGCACTTATTCTGCATGACCATATTCTATATCCCTAATCCTACCCAATACCTAAACTTAACAACTACCTTACTAACTATTAATAAGCAGCAAATTAGGAGTTTGAGGCAAACGTCATAGTACCGAAAACTTAAAATTGTGATGTCTAGCCCTAAGATAAGAAAAAAACAAAAAAAAAAACAGAAATTCATAAACTCCTGAAAACTATGGAAATTTCTAGAAGTGAGTATAAAGTTTAAAGAAAAAAAAATGTCATCTGGTAGAAAACTCAATAAAATGTTTAGTGAGATTTATTTATTTTATTTTTTTTTCCAACTGGAAAAGTCATGAAAATTCAGTGGTCAAAAGGTGTAATTTTGGAGCTTTATTTCATGGCACCCACAACCATTTTCACAGATTTATCATAGTTCAGGAGCAATTATTAGCAAAATACAGCTATTAAATGGATACTTGTAACCATTTCTGGCTTTAAGATGTTTTTGTTTTATTTTATATTAAAAATTATTTTGAAATCCCCAAATACTTCAGTAGAATTTGAATGCCCAAAGTTCAATTTGTGCTTTTGATTTGTGCACAATTGATACGGCTATTAAGAAGTGAGACCTTGAGAGCTTCGAATATCTTCAACACAGAAAGTGACATACAGTATGACGAATTTACAACTAAATCTAATAAAGTCAAAGTCCTAAGGAAGCCATCCAGTACACAGTAGACGCATCCCTCAGGCTTACTGTAATTCAGTCTTGTTCAGTCAAAAATTTAGGTTAAAAATGAGGTGCTGTTTCTGTTTGGTATTTTCAGTTGGGGTGTGTAGAGCTGCTGTGGTTACTATTACATATGCAGGCATGTGGACAGGTAACTTTCGGATGTCTCAGTAGTTGTGTTCTGTTATATAGAAACAAGACATGGAATGTCAAGATCCAGGGAGTGACTGTGCTGTTGCAAAGCGACTGTGGTGGAGAGCCTACATGTCACATGTCTGAGGAGCTGTGATTTGGTTGGTGTGATTGTTGAGGAACAGTCACAGCATTCTGTTTGATTGACCTGGGGAAGGATGGAGTACAGACTGATGTGATGTGCAGATGATCACAAGTCCATCTGCAGCCAGTCAGATACGTATTCATAAACCAGCAGCACGACTGCACCTCCTATATTCAGAAAGTAAATATCAGTTAAAGGGCATGGATAATTGTCATATGTTAAAGGGATAGTGCACCTAAAAATGTAAATTCTGTCATCAATTATGCATCCTCGTTCCAAACCTGTATGACTTTCTTTATTCTGCTGAACACAAAAGAAGAACCAAAACAGTTACTATTGTCTTTTAGTGTACGCACAAAAAACACTGAGACATTTCTCAAAATATCGCCTTTTTCTTTCCACAGAAGAAAAGAATGTGAGTAAATGATGACAGAATTTAAATTTTTAGGTGAACTATCCCTTAAATATAGGAAAACTATGTACTTATTTATGCTACCTGGTCCAAGTCTCATTATCTTGGGAATCAGTCCTTTTGTGTAAGGCAAGATATTTGAAGAAAACACACACACACACACACACACACACACACACACACACACAGGCATCAGTTACATTTATTATAATTGAATGATTTGAATTGCTTTCTCCTGTGGAATACAAAAAGAGAAATTCTGAAAATGTTAATGCTGCTCGGTTCCCTACAGAATGTAGTGACACCAATAGCACATTAGAGTATGATAAAAGTAGTCTATACTACTTGTGCATATTCAAGGTCTTCTGAAGCCATGCGATTTGTACGAGTTATGGACTAAAATGTAAATTGCTATTCAAATGTCAACAACACCAAATGCAATTGGTTATCGC